ATCAGAGTATAGACAGATAATAGCTGTTCCCAAGTTTTATCGTTTTGTAACCGCGATTGGGCAAGAAAGTGATGAAACTGAAATTTTTGTTTATGTGATAACACGCGGATGTACGAATTAAAGGGGTATTTTCAGTGAAATAGTGTATTGTGAGTAAAAGAGTTTATTTTGAACGTTTTTATCCAAGGGCCACTATTTTGTGTTGGGAAAAAATATCTTCAGCCTTGTTGGTGTTGAGACTACTATGCAACAAGATGTTGTCACTTTACCTTGACCTTAATGGCCTTGGTAGATGCAGATTACAAATTCATGTGGGTAGACATTAGCAGATGTGTCAACCCCAAGGTATGAAAAAACAGTAGACCAGCAATGAAATAACAGGAGAATCCAGGAGATTTTTTTTTCTTCATCAAATAACTTCATTTTCATTCATCATTCTTTAGTACTTTATTTCTAATGACAGATATTTTTTTTTTTGAAAGCTTTTGTGAATATATACATAAAATGCTACCCGAAAACTTTACTACGGCACTCCAATTTTAAGTAAGTGCTTTGAAGTTTAACTTTGATCCCCTGATAATTTTCGACACTATGTTTGGCACAAAGCCTGCACCGTAACAATTTGATGTTCCCCATTTTGTATTGAATGAAAATTTAAACATTGAAAAAATTCATAACAATATCCAAAAATAGAGTTTGTGTATAATTCACTGGACAATTTGACAATAGAAAAAATTTGGTCAAAAGAGTATTTTATAGATATATGATTTTTGGAGTAAATTAGTTGTGATATGAGAAAGGAATTCCGGGGGTGCAATCAGCTGTCCTCTGTGCAAGGTTAATAATAGAATAGAGTCATGTACAGGTGCGAAGTCATTTTTGATAATATATTAAATTTTATACCAAATTCTACACCTTCTCAACAGCATGGACATTGGCCTTTACATTAAATACAAAGCATGATTTTGGACATATATGTTTAACTTGGAAAAAATTGATGCCCCCAATAGGCGCCAAAGGCGCCCCTTCCATTGGACGTAATATGAAGCCAACTACCAACGTGCCCAGAAGGGGCCACCCACGACGAGATCATATGCGCCCATTCCATAATTAGTGGGGCGCCCATAATGGCAAGTAAGATTGGTTAGGCACCCACGAATGAATTCGTATTCCTTCCTTCAAATTTTTATGATGTTCATATCAAAATATCATAATACGCCAATAACACAAATTCAGCCTCATAATTGAAATTTCCCATTATTTTCATAGTTCCCCTCCTCAGGTGCAAACCCTATTTTCCGGGGGAAAAAGCACTGTAGACTGTCAAGTGTACGTACATCCAGGGATAGAACTTAATTTGAAAAACACAAGCAAAATTTTGCTGATTGATATCAAATGTACAAGCAAAAATAGGATTTTGAAAAAATTCAAGGGGCAATTTTTTATACGCCCACATTTTCATGTGGACGTATTATGCCGTCGCCCCTGTCCGTCCGGACATCCGTCCACAATTTGTTTGTGGACACTCTACAGGTCACAATTCTTATCCGATTTTGACGAAACTTGAAATATAGATTTATCTTCAAAAGATCTCGGCTGCTTTCGATATTCGCATGTATCGGATCGAAACTTCATGGATTATGGCCCCTGTTTGTACGAAAAATCATGTTTTTAGCTTGTGGACCCTATAGAGGTCACAATTTTTATCCGATTTTGTTGAAACTTGAAATGTAAGTTTATAACCCAAAGATCTCGGTTCCTTTCGATATTCGCGCAAATTGGACCGTAACTTCCTGAATTACAGTCCCTGATTGTGTGAAAAATCGTGTTTTTAGCTTGTGGACCCTATAGAGGTCATAATTTTTATCCGATTTAAAAAAAACATATTATTATATCACCGTTACACCATAAGGACGGCTGAGTTCGAATTTCGTGAAAATCGGCCCAAAACTGACAGACAAAATGGCCGCCCTTCGTTCTCAAATAGCTTAAGAATATGGTATATCAAGGTTGTGGATCCTATGGAGGTCACAATTTCTATACATCATGAAAGTAGTCCCTTGAAAAAAATGGAGGATATTTTAAAAAAAAGTTTAATTATATGGCTGTGGTGTGCTAAAACAAAGATAGTTTTCAAAATTTGAAGTCTTGATGGTTGTAGTGTATATATTCAGGTATCTCTGTGAGACTTTGTGATTTCTCATGTTGAGTTGTTTACCCTATAGCTGCGCAGTGCTGAATGGTATATTTGCTTCATATTTTCAAAAGTTACAAATTCCAAAGTCATTATTTGTTATTTTCATCCATTTTTATACACCCACATTGAAATGTGGTCGTATATTGTTGTCGCTCCCGTCCTCCCGATAATTTTTGCCAGAGTTATTTCTTAATGTAATGGTAAGAAGAGATAACTCCAATGTCACCACCACCTCAGAAAACCAACACACATCGACCACTTTTACTAAAAGAGTCAAAACCATTTGTGACCCCTCAACCTATAGAAGCCTATTCATTTTCAGCGATTTCCGATAATTTTTGCCAGAGTTATGACCCTTGATCACTTTGAAAAATCTTGTGGATGCTCTAGAGGCTAAAGTAAATATCCGATTTACTTTAAATTTTATACAAAGTGTTTAAGGTCATGAGACGAAGTAGCCTATTGATTTTCAGCGATTTCCGATAATTACTGCCAGAGTTATGGCCCTTGAACTTTTCAAAAAATCTATTGGACGCTCTAGAGGCCAAAGTTAATATTTGATTGACTTTAAATTTATACACAGTGTTTAAGGCCATGAGATGAAGAAGCCGATTGATTTCCAGCGATTTACGATCCAGAGTTATGGCCCTTGAACACTTTGAAAAATCTTGTGAATGCTCTAGAGGCTAAAGTTAATATCCGATTGACTTTAAATTTATACACAGTGTTTAAGGTCATGAGATGAAGAAGTCTATTGATTTTCAGCGATTTCCAATAATTACTGCCAGAGTTATGGCCCTTGATCACTTTAAAAAATCTTGTGGACGCTTTAGAGGCTAAAGTTAATATCCGATTGACTTTAAATTTATACACAGTGTTTAAGGTCATGAGTCGAAGAAGCCTATGGATTTTCAGCGATTTCCGATAATTACTGCCAGAATTATGTCCCTTGATCACTCTGAAAAATCTTGTGGACGCTCTAGAGGCTAAAGTTAATATATAATATAAAGTTCAACCTATTTTCTGGTTCAGAAAGATGGATCACACCTTCATCATGTTACAAAAGTAAATGATACTGTCATCCCCCTGAATCACTTGAACAACTAACATTCAAGAATGAAGTTCACAATGGATAATAAAACCAACAGCAGCCTCCAAGTTTTTAATGTAATGGTAAGAAGAGATAACTCCAATGTCACCACCACCTCAGAAAACCAACACACATCGACCACGTTTACTAAAAGAGTCAAAACCATTTGTGACCCCTCAACCCGTAGTACAACACCTAAAAGACGTCTTTATCGAACACAACGACTATTCAGAACATATGGTAAACAAGTTCACCAAAGCCACATTATCCAACCTATCAAAACTTGATAAACCAAAAACGTCATACACCCCCAATCAATTTAGAAGGTAATTAAAACAGAAGCAGGCATAGAAACCACAACCCCCAAAGGCGCAACAACTAAGGAGTTAGTAAATGCTAATGGAAAGTCAAACCTCGCAAAGCCTATACCTTTCCAAAAGGCTGTGTCTACCAAATTAACTGTAGATGTGGAGAATCCATTGGTGAATTCAAACGACCCTAGACCTCCGAAGTAAGTAGCATGTGTCCAAAGCCCCCACAAATATCTTTCGTAGCTCCCTTACTATAAACTTGCCTAATGCTCCTTTAATTTTTTTAAAAATAAAATAAAATTCAGTTAAATTTTTCGTCAACACATTACCCCTGTCATTTTGGGAAAACCCCATGGGTTGTTTTTTCTATGGTGGAACATTGCCCAGGCACTGGCATTTAAGTCCATTAGTACAGACTGCTTTATTCGACTCGGAAATATAGACTTCCTATATCTTGATAATAGGAATTCATTTATAGGGTCTAACATTGATAGTTTTTGAGATATTGACCGGTGTTTTCTGATTGGTAGACCTTGAACTTTGAACCCACCCCAAAAATTAATCCTAGTCGTGTTTCTGGCTGCAACCTGTGACAGCACAAGCGCAAAGTACTATATAATCTAAGCCATCCCTAGTGCAGCTACAAGCACATGTACTACATGAGCTGTCACTCTTGCATCCATATCTGATGAGCCACATGACAGACTCTGGAGCACGGTGACAGGTTATAATGTTGTCGTAACCCAGCAATATAGTTCCTGTTTAAGTTCCGGCGGATTACGATCTTCCAGTCAACGCCACACAATAGCTTGGTGATGACATCTTTTTACCTTCTGTACACATGCATCATTCTTTGGAGTAAGACTACATGGTTTAATTGGGGATAATGATGATACATTTCCCGTTTGGGATGCCTATACCCTCCAACGTGTTTCAGGCATCAATTTGCAAGAGCGCTGTCCATAACAAGGAAAGAACAATCGTTGACATTGGTTCAACTACTGATAAACACATGTCCAGTACCATTTGTTTAATGACTCGTCTTATTTTTACATACTAACCACAATTAACGTATTCTATGCGATATGAGGATACACTCACAAAGAACCCAGTTAGTAAATACCCAAGGATCAGTTCTACACACTGTGCATCTAACCATGTGTCCATCTCTTGCAAAATGTGGGCGTATCTTGCTTTGCAATCGCATGTGATTTATGCATTTATTTCTTGTCGATTAGTAATGATAGTTTATGCATTAGTGAAATTTATAAGATTTTAATTTGATTTCAATGTTTATATGTATGTCTTATTTGTATTTTAGTCTATTTATTTTATTTGTAAATTTCATTTTCTGTACCACATTTTGTAAAGTTCATAATAATGATAATAATAATAATTTCAGTAACTGTCTCTTTTGAGAGTAAATATGGATACATATCAGCTGTTGAATGGCCTCTTCTTGTAGTAAGTATTTAAACATTGTAGAACAAATGGAATACTTAAAACATTATCATCTCATTATCGATAGGTTTTATGTGTTTATATCTGTATCAAAGCTGTATTACCAACTGACTAGGGAGCCGCAGTGGCTAACTGAGTAAGATGAGGCTCGCTAACCTGGAGATCCTGTTTTTGAGTCTGGTGTTTTGCCAAGAAAGTTCAGCATGGCCCCCCCCTTGTCAGTGGTGCAGGACAAGAGGGGCTGGCAAGGGACAACATGGTCATTTGGATTTGATGATAACTGAGATCTCGTGTACACATTGGCGTGCATGTAAAGCAGTGCTTTATGTTTGAAAAACATAGATAAGCTATAAAAATCTCTTCTAAAATTACAACAGCTGAATATTACTCCTGCAAAAAAGACTCTTCAAAATAGAGCAGCCATTTATGTATTTTATACTTTGACCACAGATGAAGCCATTTATTGACCATTAATACTTAGAAAATAAAGATACATGTTTCAATATTTATAAGAATAAATAAAAAAAAGTCAAATTTCAGAAGTCACCGAAAGAAAAACTGAAGTTTAACTTTGATCCCCTGATAATTATTGACACTAAGTTTGGCACAAAGCCTGCACCGTAACAATTTGATGTTCCCCATTTTGTATTGAATGAAAATTTAAACATTGAAAAAATTCAGAACAATATCCAAAAATAGAGTTTGTGTATAATTTACTGGACAATTTGACAATAGAAAACAATTTGGTCAAAAGAGTATTTAAAAGATATATGATTTTTGGAGTAAATTAGTTGTGATATGAGAAAGGAATTCCGGGGTTGCAATCAGCTGTCCTCTGCGCATGGTTAATAATAGAATAGTGTCATATACAGGTGCGAAGTCATTTTTATATGCCCACATTTTCATGTGGACATATTATGCCGTCGCCCCTGTCCGTCCACAATTGTTTGTGGACTCTCTACAGGTCACAATTCTTATCCAATTTTGACGAAACTTGAAATATAGGTTTATCTCCAAAAGATCTCGGCTGCTTTCGATATTGGCATGTATCGGATCGAAACTTCATGGATTATGGCCCCTGGCCCTGTTTGTACGAAAAGTCACGTTTTTAGCTTGTGGACCCTATAGAGGTCACAATTTTTATCCGATTTTGTTGAAACTTGAAATGTAAGTTTATAACCCAAAGATCTCGGTTCCTTTCGATATTCGAGCATATCGGACAGTAACTTCCTGAATTATGGCCCCTGATTGTACGAAAAATCACGTTTTTAGCTTGTGGACCCTATAGAGGTCATAATTTTTATCTGATTTAAAAAAACGTATTATTATATCACCGTTAAACCCTAAGAACAGCTGAGTTTGAATTTCGTGAAAATCGGCCCAAAACTGACAGACAAAATGGCCGCCGTTCGTTCTCAAATACCGTAAAAATATTGTATATCAAGGTTGTGGACCCTATAGAGGTCACAATTCTTATCCGATTTTGTTGAAACTTGAAATGTAGGTTTATCACCAAAAGATCTCGGTTCCTTTCGATATTCGCGCATATCGGACCGTAACTTCCTGAATTATGGCCCTTGATTGTACGAAAAATCGCTTTCTTTTTAGCTTGTTCTCTATCAATCTCTCGAAAATGTGGGCGTATCCTGCCTGGCAGCCGCTGGTTATCCGATTTTGTTGAAACTTGAAATGTAAGTTTATAACCCAAAGATCTCAGTTCTTTTCGATATTCGCACATATCGGAACGTAACTTCCTGAATTATGGCCCTTGATTGTACGAAAAATCACGTTTTTAGGGTCCACAACATTGATATACCATATTTTACGCTATTTGAGAACGAACGGCGACCATTTTGTCTGTCAATTTTAGGCTGATTTTCATGAAATTCGAACTCAGACGTCCTTATGGTGTAACGGTGATATAATAATACAGTTTTTATACGCCCACATTTTCATGTGGAGGTATTATACCGTCGCCCCTGTCCATCCGGACGTCTGTCTGTCCGTCCACAATTGTTTGTGGACTCTCTACAGGTCACAATTCTTATCCAATTTTGAATTATGGCCCCTGATTGTAAGAAAAATCACGTTTTTATCTTGTGGACCCAATAGAGGTCATAATTTTTATCCGATTTAAAAAAACGTATTATTATATCACCGTTACACCCTAAGGAAGGCTGAGTTTGAATTTCGTGAAAATCGGCCCGAAATTGACAGACAAAATGGCCACCGTTTGGTCTCAAATAGCGTAAAAAATATGGTATATCAAGGTTGTGGACACTATAGAGGTCACAATTTTTATCCGATTTTGTTGAAACTTGAAATGTAAGTTTATAACCCAAATCGGTTCCTTTCGATATTCGCTCATATCGAACCGTAACTTCCTGAATTATGGCCCCTGATTGTACGAAAAATCACCTTTTTAGCTTGTGGATTCTATAGAGGTCATAATTTTTATCTGATTTAAAAAAAACATATTATTATATCACCGTTAAACCCTAAGGACGGCTGACTTCGAATTTCGTGAAAATTGGCCCAAAACTGACAGAGAAAATGGCCACCGTTCGTTCTCAAATAGCGTAAAAATAAGGTATATCAAGTTTGTGGACCCTATAGAGGTCACAATTTTAATCCTATTTTTGATGAAACTTGAAATGTAAGTTTATAATCCAAAGATCTCTGTTCCTTTCGATATTCGCGCATATTGGACCGTAACTTCCTGAATTATGGCCCCTGATTGTAAGAAAAATTGCGTTTTTAGCTTGTGGACCCTTTAGAGGTCATAATTTTTATCCGATTTAAAAAAACGTATTATTATATCACCGTTACACCCTAAGGACAGCTGAATTCGAATTTCGTGAAAATCGGCCTAAAATTGACAGACAAAATGACCGCCGTTCGTTCTCAAATAGCGTAAAAATATGGTATATCAAGTTTGTGGACCCTATAGAGGTCACATTTTCGAGAGATGGATAGAGAACAAGCTAAAAAGAGAGTGATTTTTCCTACAATCAAGGGCCATAATTTAGGAAATTACAATTCGATATGCGCAAATATCGAAAGGAACTGAGATCTTTGTGTTATAAACTTACATTTCAAGTTTCAACAAAATCGGATAAAAATTGTGACCTCTATAGGGTCCACAACCTTGATATACCATATTTTTACGCTATTTGAGAACGAACGGTGGCCATTTTGTCTGTCAATTTTGGGCTGATTTTCACGAAATTCAAACTCAGCCGTCCTTAGGGTGTAACGGTGATATAATTATATTGTTTTTTAAATCGGATAAAAATTATGACCTCTATAGGGTCCACAAGCTAAAAACATGATTTTTCGTACAATCAGGGGCCATAATTCAGGAAGTTATTCTCCGATATGCGCGAATATCGAAAGGAACCAAGATCTTTGGGTTATAAACTTACATTTCGAGTTTCAAAAAAATCGGATAAAAATTGTGACCTCTATAGGGTCCACAACCTTGATATACCATATTTTTACACTATTCGAGAACGAAGGGCGGCCATTTTGTCATTCAATTTTGGGTCGATTTTCCCGAAATTCGAACTCAGCTGTCCTTATCATGTAACAGTGATATAAATACGTTTTTTTAAATCGGATAAAAATTATGACCTCGATAGGGTCCACAAGCTATAAACGCAATTTTACGTACAATCAGGGGCCATAATTCAGGAAGTTACGGTACTATATGCACGAATATCGAAAGGAACCCAGATCTTTGGGTTATAAACTTACATTTCAAGTTTCAACAAAATCGGATAAAAATTGTGACCTCGCTATATTTTATGAAATGTCAATACTTTCAGTTTATCATCTTTTAAATGTAAATAATTACTGTAACATTGGTACCGTTTAATCTGGCGTAAATAGCATTAATTTCTACTCTGTGTCTAATTATTCATAAATATTGTTGAATTTCGGCAAATAGTGCTCAATTTGTACTTCTATCGAATTTCAATCTCACTGTTTAATTTTGATTACCAAGCGTCTAATTAACTAGTGTTTAGTTTCTCGACACTTATTGAATTATAAGCGTCCCGTCTAATTAGCACGACTGTTCAATAATTAGTTGGACCGTTCAATTTCCCGAGCCGTGATTAAAATCAGTCAAGGTGTCCAATTACGCAAGGTGTTCAATTTTGTTGTCAAACATCTAATTTCCAGTGCGATGCTCAGATATTACGATGTGTTTCGTTGTGGGTCATCGTTCAGTTTTGCCGTCGATGGTCTATTTTGCTGCACGATGTTGAAATACTGTAATAAGTGTTAGTTTTAGTACTGACCTGTTGCGATACGGTAAATTCCAAATACAAACTGCTTATCGTTTTCATGCCATAGACACTAATATCCTAATTTTAAAAAAAAGTTCAGTTTCCATTAATTATCACGGACACAAATATTAAAACCATTCGCCAATAACATATATTTTTGACCGATGTTGGAATTTTTTTGACTGAATATAACAATAATAATGAAAAGACAGATAGTCGAACACTAAAAGAGATCAATTATGATATGTGTGTATTGTTTTTATTGAATAGGGTAAACTCCTAGCCGATAAAATATAAGATTTTTACCACAATAAAAACGATCAGTTCGGGGAAAAACTGAAGAATTCCGAATGTCTGACGAAGATGTCACAAAACGCTGGTTTTATCTGCCCACATTGAAATGTGGACGTATATTGCCGTCCGTCCGTCCGTCCGTCCATCGTCCACAATTTCTTGTGAACGCTCTAACGCCAAAAGTTATCATCCAATTGTTTTAAAATTGATATATGTTGTTAACATTAGTGAGATGAAGAAGCCTATTTAATTTCAATAATTTCCGTTTATTACGTCTAGAGTTATGGTCCTTGTTTCACATTGTTGAACCTTGTGCAAGCTCTAATGCCAAAAGTTATTATCCGATCCTTCTGAAATTTATATGCATTATTTAGATTACTGAAACGAAGAAGCCTATTGAATTTCAATAATTTCTGT